ATATTAAGAAAACAAAAAGAATGACCCCGGCTTATTGGCTTTACATTAAAATGGATGATGAAGACACCAAAATAGTGGAAGATTTTCCATATCTTGACTTAGACAAGAATCAAAATGGGAACTGCAGTCCAAACTAGGACTTGGAAAGGCAGTTACAAAAGAACGAGACAAGATCCTTTGAACACATATTTCTATGAATCTCCTAGGAGGAAATTGCCATGAATCGGACTCAACATGAAGGCACATAACAACAGTCAACAGAACATCTACATTTTGTACTTTGATCAAGGAGCTCAAGTCCCCCACGTATTTATTTATTTATTTATTTGCTAGCCATCCCCTGCCACGCGTTGCTGTGGCCCAGTCTGCTTATATGTGTTTTTTGTGTCTATATAAGTGTATATGTGTGTATATATATTAGCGTATATGTGTGTTTCTGTATGCATTATAATGTATTTTTGGGGTTTCTTTGTTTTTTAGGTCTCTTTTGCTGTGTTTTTCGGTGTTTTTATGAGTGATGGTCACTTGTTGGACTGATAGGTGTCTTGTGTCCAAATATGGTGTCAATTTGTCCAGTGGTTTTTGAGTTCTGTTAATCCCACAAATGAACATTACATTTTAATTTATATAGATTTATTTATTTCCAACTTTTTTACCCCATCCTTCTCAACCCCCAAAGAGAGACCCAGGGCGGCTTATAATGGCAGCAATTCGATGCCGACAACATAAAATACAATATAACAACATTATGCAAGAGATAAAACACTGAATTAAAATACATTAAACATTATTATTATTCGTCATATTGCCGAATCCAGATCTGATTTAGTGATCGACAATTCGGTCCGAAGCCTGTCCTATGTCAAAGTTCAAAAATTGTTAACACTGCCAAGCCTACAATCAAACGCTTGGTCCCAAAACCATGTTTTCAATCTAAAAGAGAGGAGGGGTGAAGCCGACCTACTGTATATACTCAAATATAAGCCTAGTTTTTCAGCCCCTTTTTCAGTCTGAAAAAGCTCCCCTCGGCTTATACTCGAGTCAAGGTTATTTATTCTTTTACTCTGTTATTGGTATTATTTTATTACATTTATTATTTTACTCTATTATTATTATATTTACATTATTTTGCTCTATTATTATTCTATTTATTATTTTGCTCTATTATTACTATTACATTTATTATTTTAATCTTATTATTATTATTACATTTACAGTATTTTACCCTATTGTTATTATTATTATTGTTATTATTACATTTATTATTTTAATCTTATTATTATTATTATTATTACATTGACAGTACTTTACCCTATTATTACTACATTTATTATTTTACTCTATTATTACTGTTTTTATTGCATTTTCATTATTTTACTCTATTATTTTTATATTTATTATTTTAATAATAAGTACATTTACATTGAAGGAGGTTAGAATAATAGTTTAATAAGAGTTGGACAGTTTTATCTTAATTACAAGTTTATGTAAATATTCAGAAACATTTAGCCTATTGATGCATCAATTAATATAATTTTATTTTTATTTTGAAATTGACCCACAGTGGATGCATTCCCACCCTCGGCTTATACTCAAGTCAATACGTTTTCCTAGTTTTTAGTGATAAAATTAGGTGCCTCGGCTTATATTCGAGTCGGCTTATACTCGAGTATATACGGTAATTTCTCTAGAGAGGCATTCCACAGGTGGTGGACCACCACCGAGAAGGCCCTACAACAATTTATTATTCCTACAACAGCTCTCTGTGGTACACTAAGCTGAGAAGATTGTAATATTCACAAACTTAGTTTATTCCCTAGCTGATATATGATTTAACCTAGAAGCTTCTGCTCCAAAAATGAGACATGTGTGGCCTTCCTGATACTATAGGATGGGTTATCCCATCATGCCTGACATTGGTTGCACTTGGTAAAGTTGATAGGAGCTACATGACAGCAGATTTGGAAGGCTGTACATCCTCTTGAATTGCCCCCATTCAGGGCCATCAGTCTTCCTACTACACCACACTGAATTCATACAAGGCTTTTAGCACCAGTGATTCTGTGAGGCTTCAAGCACTTGAACAGAATATCTGAATTATTCTCACATCAATGTCCTCCTCTTTTGCAGTTTTAAGCTTTTAAACAGGAATGATTCAAAGCACTGAAAAGTATATTGAAAGAGGTCCTGTTTTCTTGTAATCAAAACAGAGGAAGAGAATCCTAGAATCATAAATGCAAATTGTGTGCAAACCCTGATGCAATGATCCTGCATCTTGCATCAGTGTTTCCTCATGTAAATCCAAATGCAGCAGCAGCAATTCAAGCAGCCAATTCCTTTCAAGACAGATGCTGCAGTAGCTGGAAGGGAGCCACCATCTCACTGCAGCAGGAAACTTCCAAAGGCCAGATGGAGGCATTTGTAAGAGGTGCCTGGCAGCTGCCAGAATCACTTGTCTTTTCTCTCCTCCCAGAGTTTGAAAAATATAGTTTTTTAAAACAGAAAACAACTGCCAGATACAGCACCTTCGTACCTCGCTCTCAGAAGAGGAGGAAAGTCCCGAACCATCCCTCTCTGCTTATTTTTGGGTCATTTTAAACTATACACTTGAAGGCAAGTAGCAGTCAACTACTGTATATACTTGAGTATAAGCCTAGTTTTTCAGCCCCCTTTTTAGACTGAAAAAGCTCCCCTCGGTTTATACTCGAGTCGAGATTATTTATTATTTTACTCTGTTATTAGTATTATTTTATTACCTTTATTATTTTACTCTATTTATTATTATTACATTTATTATTTTTCTCTATTTATTATTATTATTACATATATTATTTTTCTCTATTCATTATTATGGGAAGGATAGGTGAGCACATTTACATGGAAGAAGGTGAGCATCATGGTTTAATCGGAGTTGGACAGTCTTATCTTAAATTACAGTTTTATGTAAATAGCCAAAAGCATTTAACCTACTGAAGCCTTAATTAATGTAATTTTATTGGTATCTATTTTTATTTTGCATTTCCCACCCTTGGCTTATACTCGAGTCAATACATTTTCCCAGTTTATTGTAGTAAAATTAGATGCCTCGGCTTATATTCGGGTCGGCTTATACTCGAGTATATACCCCTTATTCACCCGACCTCGCACCACTGGACTTCCATCTCTCTCCAACAATAAAGTTATTTTTGAAGTGCAGGTGTTTTTTTAGCTGATGAGGCTCTGAAAGTCACAATGTTGCTTTTGGAGCAACCTGTCAGCTTCTACAAGCGAGGTGTTTACTAGGCATGGATAGAGCCGCGTCGGATTACTCGTTACTCGTAATAATTTCTTTAAAGTTACCTTTTTGAATTGATTTCTAAGCATTTAAAAAACCCGGAAGTCCCTTTGCCCTTCTGAAGCTTTCTCCACCATTTTTGTTACGACTCAGGAAGTGAGTCGGGAATGATTCAGCGTATTTTCAGCCCTCTAGCCTGCTGGGAGGCTCCTTGCATCCCCTCCCAGCCAATCAGGGGAGAGGTTTTGGGGAGGGGAAGGATTTCGGCACTGGCCGCCATCGCTGTATATAAAGGGAAGCACATGGCTCAGAGGCTCATTTGGAGCTGGGGAGGAAAGGGGGAAGGGGGAACGGGAAAGGGGAAAAGGGAAAAGGGAAGGGAGATTGGAAGAAGAGCATGGCACGCAAGCAAACAAGCAGAAAGGAAGAAGGGCTGGGAGGGCTGTTGCCAGTCGTGTTTGGCTGCCCGCCTATTTCTTTTTTTCTTTGTTTGTTTGCTGTGAGTTGCCTAAGAAGACACTAGAAATCCCATAGTTTCCTGCCTAGTGCCTATACTTCCCTAATTGGTGAAATCTGCTTAAAAGGCCCATAAAGCTCTCAGGGCTGTTTCTTTTTTTCTTTGTTTGTTTGCTGTGAGTTGCCTAAGAAAACACTAGAAATCCCATAGTTTCTTTCCTGCCTATACCTGGTGAAATGTGCTCAAAAGGCTCCAAAAGCTCTCAGGGCTGTTTGTTTTTTCTTTGTTTGCTGTCAGTTGCCTAAGAAGACACTAGAAATCCCATACTTTCATGCCTATACTTCCCTAACTTTTGAAATCAGGGAGAAAGAATCCCTTGAAGTTTGCCCAGTACCATTTGCTGTTTTTCATGTATTGAGCAATCGCATCTGCCATTAACGAAGCAATTTGAACATTTTGAAAAGTTCTGATTTTTCTTTGGAAAAATTCGGAATTCAATTCCAAATCGAACCACCAGTGCCCCCTATTTTTTTAGTCAACCAAGCCTACTGTTTACAGTTGCTTAAAAAGATGGCAGAAGTGTGCATCCCTAAGTGACATTTACGTAGAGAAGGACTCATATGCCAAGTTTCATTGCTCTCAGTCCACAGAAGTGGGTCAGGGGAAATATTTAACACATGCCTCTCATAGCAGTCAATTAACCATTTGTAAACTCTTGATGAGAAGGGTATAAATACTCTAAAGAAAGACGGTCTAAAATGTTGGAAATGTTATATTTTGAAAAACCACTGTGTCTAGCACAGTAAGCAGCAGTGGAGGATGTAAGAACAAATTTTCCTTCCCTGGACCATTTGGGGGCTGCATGGACTGCAAAAATTCCCAAAACAAAAATAGACAGTGGGGAAAAAAATCCACTCAGAAACTGCTTGCAATCTCTGATTTAAAGACTGGAATAACACGAAGATGGAAAATGAAAGTAGATAAGCTCTTCCAAATCCTGGTTAGCAGAAATCTTAGCTTGTCATCACATCTGAACTAAAGCAACCGCTAAACTAAGAACCTGGGCTTTCTCAGAGCAAGAAAAACTAAACTACATATTTCCTCTTTGAGTCCTGGTTTATCATCAGCATACACACATGATTTGGGCATCGCCATCCTGGCTTGTTAAACAGCAGCTTTTAATTGTAAACAGCTTTTTAGAGCAATACTGTTCATCTGCACCACAATGGCAATTTTTAAAAAATGTAAAATAATGTATTAAATACTTACTATCCCAGTCTTTGGTGAAGGCTTTGGTTGAAGGCCCCGTTTTAAAGCCGTTGATAGAAGCAACAATAACACAAATGGATCAAGATGATATCCTGTCGTAATTAATCTGGAAGCACTGTTTAAAAACAAAAGGGAAAAGAAGGCAAAAAAAGTTTCAGGTTGTCATTCTGACTTCATGATTTCACTATTCTTTAATTCATTTTGTCTTTGCCTTGAAAGATTCTACGATCTTGTTCTTCCTCATCTGATTGTGCTTAGAACTCAACACAGTCTATGGGAATGTGCCACAAAGCAGGCAGTGTGATGACTAACAAAAACCATTATGGGCACTTGAAAAGCCACCCTTAAATACAATTTCAAAGCAAACAGCAATATCAAACATCTAAGGATGTAAAACGACTCTGCTAGATGGAGTCAGCCTAACTTCCTAAGCAGAGAGATCCAGAATTGCAGTTGCCACGTCGACAAAGAGACCGAGCTAAACCTTTGACCTGTACCTAAGTCAAATCCTAGTAACAGTTCCTTCTCATTTTTGGACACAACATTGGGCTTCCCGGTTTCCTCAATGGTAAGCAAGTATTCATGATTCCAGTTTTTGTCCTAGAAATGAATAATGCAAAGATACATGCCTTCTGTGGAAGTTTGGATACTACAAAAACAACTATTCTGAACCCCACATATGCCATGCTCCCCATAGCAGAATTGGTTAGTCAACTGCGTGTTAGTTTGGTGAAATAAAGCAGTGATTTTACATGTGTCGTCTTTTCCAAGATAGCAACACATTAATACATAACTTTGTACATTTAAATGGCTTTCCTCTTTAAGGGCTGGAAGTTTAGCACAGCTTGTAAATCATCAGCAACTATAGGATCTATCAACCAAAATGTTGCAAGTCCAAAGCCCCAGGTCAGCATGAGCGGCCGACTGTCAGCCCTGCTCACTGTTTACCTAAGCATTTCGAAAACAGCTTTAGCTGTAATTAGAGAAAATAGGTAAAGGTAAAGGTTTTCCCCTGACACTATCCAGTCGTGTTCAACTCTGGGGTGTGGTTCTCATCTCAATTTCTAAGCCAAAGAGTCAACGTTATCCATAGACACCTCCAAGGTCATGTGGCCAGCTTGACTGCATGGAGCGCCGTTAGATAAATTAGGTACCGCTAAAAGCGGCGGAGGTATTTTACAATGCCATAAAGAAAAAGAAGATCAGAAAATGCTAGAACGAAGAAGTCCTGACGGCTCTTCATCATAGAGGATGGAGCAACAGCACCCCCTGTGGACTTGAGCCCAACCATCCATGGCATCAAAATAACACCTCCTTCTCTGCTGTCTGTCTGTGTACTGTCTATACAAACGGCATTGAATGTTTGCGGTGTATGTGTACTTGTGATCTGCCCTGAGTCTGCTTCGGGTGAGAAAGGCGGAATATAAATAAAATGTTGTTGTTGTTGTTGTTGTTGTTGTTGTTGTTGTATTGTATTCCCCTTACCACTGCCCCGCCCTATAGAACAGTGGTTCTCAACCTGTGGGTTCCCAGGTGTTTTGGCCTACAACTCCCAGAAATCCCAGCCAGTTTACCAGCTGTTATTATTTCTGGGAGTTGAAGCCCAAAACATCTGAGACCCACAGGTTGAGAACCACTGCTATGGAAGAAATGGGAACAATGCAGCTCTTCAGATGTTCGTGGATGAGACTCCCGACCTTCTTCACCATTGTCTATGCTGACTAGAGCTGCTGAGACCTGAAATCTAACATCTGGAGGGCTGCATCCTCTATCACCTAGTAAGAAAGCACTCATATTGAAAAACTTAAGCAATAGCCCCAAAATTTTTAGCACAATTACAAAGATGTATGTGTATGGCATACACATAGACTACTACTTCCATCATCTTTCCACATTCACCATGCTGACTAGAGACAATAGAACTTGCAGTCCAAGACTATCCAGAGAGCTGCATGTTCCATAGTGTGTGTATGTGTGTGTGTGTGTGTGTGTGTCTGTCTGTCTATCTATCTATCTATCTATCTATCTATCTATCTATCTATCTATCTTGTTGCACATGGCGTGTTTCAATCAGGTCCAATGCAGAAGGCACAATAACATTGCACACAGGCAAGAGGAAAAAGAACAGAAAAACTTTTATCAGCAGAGTTCGCATAAACTTGCAATGTTGCAAACAAAAACAAACAGTGCAACCAACTTAGATAGACCTTTCAAGCAATACAGAATAAGGATTCTTCATCCAAATGAGAGAGCAGTAGAAATGGTTGAGCAAAATGCCTGAGCAAAGACTCCTCAGAGCAAAGCTAAACTGTATTCTAAAACCCATACTGTTATACCCCACTGGTTTTGATCCAAACTTACTAGTTGACCTACATTAGCAGCTGCACACAATAATCAACAGTATAACGTTTTCTTTAACACACACACACACTTGATCCTGTTACAAATTACTGTAACATATCTATCTATATATACACAAACACACACATATTGCAATATTTCATGTCTATATAATACTTATAAAGACAAGATTAAATGTTTATTCCATGCATCCACAGTATGGTCAAGGGAATATATATAGTGATTGGTTCTCTTCGGCTTCCATGCCATGTAGCCTCCATATGTCTGCCAGTGTGTAATTTACACCATCCAATGCAGTTGGATATGATCAAAAATATGCAAATGGGAATTCAAAGTCAAGTGAGGTCAGATTCCTAAAATAATACAGGATAATATAGGCTTAGCTCAATTAAAAATAAAAGGTGCGCTCAAGCTCAAGCCTGTTGGAAAATTGGAGAGAATCTGAAGGCTGAACAATCCTTTGCTAGAGGCAGGCTTAGCAACACTTAACACCTCGGCAAGATGAAACCAAATCCAGTTTATACTCCTTTAAATCACCTGGATTAGTCTCTTGTTGGCTGCTTATACGACAACAGACTGAAAGTGGCTTACCACATTTTGACAAATTAGCTACATATTACAGAGGTAGCTATTAAAATACATAGTACATTCCTGGATAGTGAAGGTTTAAGCTTCAGTCACTCCTGTGCTGGGAAATCAGTTTTGCTCAACTGTTTCAAGCCAAATACAACAAACTGTTGTGCAGTGGTTCTCAACCTGTGGGTCCCCAAATGTTTTGCGTTTCAACTCCCAGAAATCATAACAGCTGGTAAACTGGCTGGGATTTCTGAGAGTTGTAGGCCAAAACACCTGGGGAGCCACAGATTGAGAACCATTGCACTAGGATTTCCAGGTTCACCCAATTCTGTCTGCAAAATCCAAGTTCTTTATATTAATTAAAAACCAGGTGATAGTATGATAGCTGGGTCTGGAAGCTCTGAGTATTACGGAGATGCCGCAAAGATAGCTGTGAATACGGGAAGAGAGGGGCGGAGTGAGAGCGGGGAAAGCGAAGGAAGAATAGAAAGGAGGGGACACTTAGGGTAAGGGTTAGGGCAAGGTTTAGGGTTTGGGTTAGGTTTACGGTTAGGGTAAGAGTTAGGGATTATGGTTAGGGTACGGTTTAGAGTTAGGGTAAGGTTTAGGGTTTGGGTTAGGGTTAGTGTAAGGCAGGGGTCCTCAAACTTTTTAAGAAGAGGGCCATGTCACAGTCCCTCAAACTGTTGGAGGGCCGGATTATAATTTGAAAAAAACATGAATGAATTCCTATGCACACTGCACATATCTTATTCATAGTGCAAAAACACTTCAAAACAATCCAATAATTAAAATGAAGAATAATTTTAACAAATATAAGCTTATTAGTATTTCAGTGGGAAGTGTGGGCCTGCTTTTAGCTGATGAGATAGGGTTGTTGTTGTTGTGTGCTTTCAAGTCATTTCAAACTTAGATTGATACTGAGCGAGGGCCGGGTAAATGACCTTGGAGGGCTGTATCCGGCCCTCGGGCCATAGTTTGAGAACCCCTGGTGTAAGGGTTGGGGTAAGGGTTTGGGTAAGAGGTTAGGCTTAGGTTTATTATTTATTATTTATTTACTATACTTGTATATCGCCTTTCTCAGCCTATCAGCGACTCAAGGCGGTTTACAACAAGTCAATACACATAATAGTGTGTACTGACTTAGCTTACGGTATGGTTTATCGTTAGGGTAAGGGTTAGGGTAAGTAAAGGTTAGGGTTTCACCATTAAAAGAACTCTTACATTCCTTCTACATTATCTGTCTCTGGCCTGGCTTACATTCCCTAAGTCTCTCTAGCGCAAACAGCACTCCTGAAGGAGCAATGTGGCATCTCCGTAGCACTCGGAGTTTCTGGACCCAGCTATCATACTACTACCAAAACCCAGCTATAGATTGATCTTGTACATTGGAAGAACAAATATAATCATTACCAACCATATGGCAGGTGTTTCATTCTCCGCTGTTGCCACACAAACAGTTTCTTGAACATTAAGTTCTTGTGGGTTTTTTCGGGCTATATGGCCATGTTCTAGAGGCATTTCTCCTGGCGTTTCGCCTGCATCTATGGCAAGCATCCTCAGAGCTACAGCAACCTTCTTACTTCTTTGCCTATGAAGTAGATAATTGCTGTTCTTATGGGATTCACATTTAATTGTGAGAATTAGAGAAAATCCCATTGCACATCAAAGTCCTTTGAAGTTGTACTATCAACATGGTCCGAATGTTTCTTCTCAGGATTTCTTTTGCCTGCCTCTTCCAGAGCGCACAACCTAAATCTCACCCGTGTTTTATCCTGCAGCAAAGGTAGCACATCTGGCGGAGGAGTAAACACCACAGATCTTGAAAGATACTTCAGTTGTTTTTTAAAAATGGTAATGACTATATTGCCCCTGAGCTTAAGAAGCAAGGAGAAAGAACACCCACCTAAATATCCCATCATAAGAAGCAAGAGGCAGAAAGACGAAGTCCATTCTCCACTTTTCCACCCATAGACCACCCATAGGTCAAAATGGGATCTCTGCTGTAACCTCCCTTCTCAATGGCTGCTTCCAGGACTTCTCAACTCCCTTTTTGTTTCATATTTTAAATTCCACAAACATTTTATTGTATTTTAAATACAGCTTTTGTATGTTTTTACATGCATGCATTACTACTTATACTACTTTTTTATTTTGCAAGCTTCCTTGAGTGGAAAA